TAACTGAGGGTTGATGGGGGGTGGGAGGGAGGGGAGGGTGGGTGATGGGTATTGAGGAGGGCACCTTTTGGGATGAGCACTGGGTGTTTTATGGAAACCAATTTGGCAATAAATTTCATATATTGGAAAAAAATTAGATTAAAAAAAATTAAATTTGGATTACAATAATGTTAACCCCTTGTAGGTAAACCAAGTAAAAACTCACCTCGTCCACTTCCACTGCCACTTCTGCTTTGGTAAGTGTCACCATTACCTGTAAGGAATTGTTCTGCAGATTACTTAGACATATAGCTATTTCTATTCAAATACTGAGTACTGAGGATACCTGGTCCCTTTGTCCATCCATCTCTTAATTCTACATTTAATTTAAATCTTTTCCTCATGTGAACACTTTAAAGCCTTCATTTTTTTTTAGAGAGTTTTAAGTTCACAGAAAAATTGAGAGAAAGGAACAGAGATTTCTCTGATACCTCCCTCCTGCCCTCACATTTTAACAGCCTCCCCCATTATCAACATTAGAAGTTTATCATATTAAAAGTTTACAGTAGGGCTCACGTTCGGTGTTATACATTCTATGGGTTTGAAAAAACATAAAATGACTTGTATCCACCATTGATGTATCATACAAAGTATTTTCACTGTTCTAAAAATCCTTCATACTATTCTTTCCTGCCCCCAACCCCTGGCAACCACTATTCTTTTTACCCTTCTCCAAAGTTGTTCCTTTTCCAGAGTGTCTTAAAGTTGGAAAGTATTTAGTAAGTAGCCTTTTCAGATTGGCTTCTTTCACTTAGTAACATGCATTTAGGGTTTCTACAGGTTTTTTCATAGTTTGATGGCTCATTTCCTTTTAGTACTGAATAACAGTCTATGGTTTGGATGTACCAGTATATACACATTTGCACATTTTTATCAACAATTGTGTTGCTGTGTTTTTTCATTTTCTCCTCAAATCACCTAAAGAGTTCTTTCTTTGAAACCACTGCAAACTTCATTTTCCTTCCTCCAATTCAAGCTATATTTACACATCAAATTAACTGGTAAGTAAGAGAAAAGAAATAATTCACAGTGCACAAGTTTTATAAGGAAGGCAAAACTGCCCATGTATAAAAAGCAGATCTAAAAATCATAGAAAATTATGAGCTAACCAAGTATACTTAAATACATCTATTAGTTTACTAATTGTAGAGCTAAAAACATATATGAATGTTTAACATTCAATAAGAAATTCTATTTCTCACCTGCACCACTTAAAGTTGGTCTTCTAGAACCAAAAAGGCCACCAGCACGCTGCATCCCCTCATCTTGCTCATATTCACTATCTGTATTTGTACATAATGAGATTATATTACTTTTAAGAGGTTTTAAAATGATAAAGAAAATCTAAAAGAGTGACAAGAAAATCAAGTGATAGTGCCAGAAGTTAAAGATATGAGGCAAAATAGTTTAAATTGTAAAGGAATCACAATGAGCATTTTTCTAAGAATCACACAAAGGATTTCTCCATAAATTATTTCTTTGAATTACAAACGACTTCCTCAAAACTTTTATTAAAATTATTTTTTTAAAAAGTTAGGGCCAGTACTATGTTAAAATATCATATAAACAAAAGTTAAATAACCTCCAAAAAACAGCACTGCTACTGCCCCAGAAACTTCACATTGCATAGCCTTTTTGCTTATTCTCCAGAACAGTACCCGCTTGCTCCCACTGTTGCTAAATCAACCCTTACAAGTCCTGAACAACCCCTAGACCCTTACACTTTTTTAAAAGTGACAATTCACTAATCTCCTATACATCTATTAAATTATTACAGATTTAGTTTTGACTTCCAAAACCACGCATCTTTCCTCCTCCATTAAGAGACACACGCAATCCAGCAGTGACTTCTGAAGTCAATACCCCTAGCTCTAAGAAACGATGGCTGAAGTTGTTAGAAAGCCAAATTGGTAAAAGAGGGTATAAAGGAGGGTACAGTCTTAGAGAAGGCTACCTATTTCTAAGGTTGGCTTTTATGATGAAGGCTTTAAAACAGTAATATTAGGCACTTGGGTGGCTCAGCTGGCTGAGCACCCTACTCTTGGTTTTGGCTCAGGTCATGATCTCACAGTTTGTGAGTTTGAGCCCTGCATTGGGCTCTGTGTGGACAGAGCAGAGTCCACTTGGAATTCTTTCTTCACCCCCACCCCTTTCCCGCTCTCTCCCTCTCTCAAAATAAATAAATAAACTCTAAAAAAAAAAAAAAAGTAAGATTAAAGAGCTGAGTCACACAAACTTCTATAAAGACTCATCTATTCCAACAGGTATGCAATTAAATATGTGTCTAAAAATGTCATATATAATGTAAGCAATTATATACCAGCTACAGTGTAAGCTCTTCTCATATAATCCTCTCAACAAGCTTAACTGATAGGTTTTATTTTTTTATCATTTCCTTCTTAACAGATAAAGCACACCATTTGCAATTCACTACTAACTTGAACTTCCTAGACCAAATCCTCCACGGCGACCTCGGAAACCACCTCTTCCACCTCTTCTGGATGACCCTGAAGCTTCTGAATCATTTCCATCTTGATAGCCTATAATATGAAAACACACACAAGAACAACACAAAATAACAACAAAGAAATCTTGGAGAAATGGTGTCCAAATTTATTTTAAGCCTTGCATAATTCAGTAACTTTACATATTTTAAGGCATTAATAGTTACTAAAAAGAAATGCCATATTTGACCTATAAATGTTCAACTTTGGGGCACCTGGGTGGCTCAGTTGGTTGAACGTCCGACTTTGGCTTAGGTCATGATCTCGCAATCTGTGAGTTCGAGCCCCGTGTCCGGCTCTGTGCTGACAGCTCGGAGCCTGGAGCCTGCTTCAGATTCTGTGTCTCCCTCTTTCTCTCCCCCTTCCCCCACTCATGCTCTGTCCCTGAATCTGTCTGTCTCTCTCTGTTAAAAATAAACATTAAATGTTCAACTTCACTACCATAAACAGATATAGCTACAATTTAAAAAAAGAAAAAACCCACTGCTTTCTGAGAATCAAAACGAAAAATAACCAGAGGTAGTTAGTTGCCTGGCTCAGTCAGTAGAGCTTGTGACTCTATTCCAGAGTCTTGAGTTCAAGCCCCACATCGAGATGAAGAGTTTATTTGAAAAAAAAAATTTTTTTGACGAAAAAACTGTCACTTGCAAAACACTAAAAATTACCACAAATGTATCATTAACAACATTTCTACAATGCACAGAAGCATTAGATAAATCTAGGCTTACATTTGTTCTTTACAGAAAACAGTAAAACATCTTACTCAAAGCAGAGACATATAGACATATATAAAGCCTGATTTCCTACTATACACTTTAAATTCAATTAAATACCAAAAATCAGTATAAATATTTCAAGTAACATATGATCCCACCTAAGGCAGAACGAGGTCAATTCAAAACCAAAACGTCAACTGGACAGAAAATAAAGTGAGATTCAGTTTATGAACTTGCCACTATTTACAAACAAACTTCTCAATAAAGGTAAAAATTCTACCTGTATTTCTTGATACTGAATTATATGTGTTTTTAAAGCCTATTTATAAAATAGGGCAGACTTAATTCAAGGTAGATTCATGGTGATACATCTACAACCTCAAACTTAGATTCCTCAATCTAGCAACAATCTCTTTATCAATACTTATATCCACCTTTTCTAAATAATTTATTTGTGCCTCTTTATCTTTGAATAAACCTTGTTAGAGTTTATCTCTTCTCAAGAAACAGTTTATTTTTTTGACCCACTTCTTTTTAAGGTATGTTACTTTGGTGTGAGCACATGAATAATAAAATGAAAACCTATAGACCTACTAGCCAGCTTAAAACTAAAAACATTCCCAGGGCACCAGGGTAGCTCAGCTGGTCCGGCCCAGTCCAGCTTCAGCTCAGGTCATGCTAAGTTCATGGGTTCAAGGCCCAAGTCGGGGTGTGTGCTGACAAGCGTGGAACCTGCTTCAGATCTGTCTCCCTCTCTCTCTGCCCCTCTCCAGCTTATGCTGTCTCTCAAAAATAAATATAGTAAAAAAAAAAAAAAAAACTAGCTAAAAATATTCCCAAGACCTAGGGAGACCATTTATAGTCTTTCACCCTATGTTTCCCCCTTCCTCAACCAATATCCTGAATTGTTTCTCATTTCCTTGCTCCTATTTTAATTTTACCAACTATGTGCATATCTTTATGCAACATATTGTTCAGTTTGTGTTTGAGCTTTATATAATGGAATCTTATAGAATATGTATTTTTTATCTTGCTTCCTTTTATTCAACTTTTTGTTGATGCATACTTCATTCACTTTTAGTGCTGAATAACACTCCACTGTATCTGTTTCATTCATGTCTATTATCTTTTTAACTTCCTTCTACTGAGTTTTTTAATTACTTAAGTTGAATACATTAATTTCTTTTCTACTCAATGCATTTAAGACTACAAACATTCTTCAAAAAGTCAGCTGCTTTAGCTGTATCCCTTAAGTTTTGATGTTTTTACTGTCCATTCAGTTCTAAATACTTTATTATTTCCATATGAATTTTCAGAAATTGAGAAATTCAGTTTCCAAACCACAAGGGTTAGGCTTTTCATTATGGATTTCTGTTTTCACAAGTATTAACAGTATATTTTGAGACTTGCTTTTGGCCTTAATTTATGGCAAAATTATATCTATTTTCTAGATGCTGTAAAAGAATGTGTAAAAGAAGGGTGTGTATTATTCCAAACAGAAATATTAAATCAGGCTTAATAACTAGTATTCAAATCTACTGTAGTCTCTATAGTCTTACTCATTTCTGGTCTGCTCATTCTATCAGTTTGTAACGGAAAAATGGTTTAAACCTAAGATTAATGGTTTAACTAGAATTTGCAATTTTTTTCCATGTAATTATGTCTACTTTTGCTTTATATACATAAGAATATATTGTTAGATTTCAAACCATGTTCCAAACTGTAATATTTTCCCAGTGAACATGCCTTTTATCATTAGGTAATTATTTCTTTATCCCTAATAGGTCTGCTTTAGTCTATTTTGTCTCCTATTTCTATACCAGCTTTTGGGGGTTCATATTGGACTGACATTTTGCTCTTTATTTGCAACTCTGCACTGAAATACATGTAACTATACACATATTATGATTACTGACATTGATTTCTTACTTCTTTCATCCTCTTTTGTGTTTTCTCTTTCCTTAGTTTTTTTCAACTTTTTTTGTTCTTTCTGTCCTTCTATTAGATTTCCCAAATGCTACATTTTATGCCTTTACTGATATCCTTCAATCTCACCATGAATATTTTATAAATATTTAAATTAGGGGAATCTGGGTGGCTTAGTCAGTTAAGCATCCAACTTCAGCTCAGGTCATGATCTCACAGTTCGTGGGTTTGAGTGCCGCATCAGGCTCTGGGCTGACAGCTCAAAGCCTGGAGCCTGCTTCAGATTCTGGGTCTCCCTCTCTCTCTGTCCCTCCCCCTGCTTGTGCTCTCTCTCTCTCTCAAAAATAAATATCAAAAACAAATTTTTTAATAAAAAATTAAAAAATAAATTATCTTCAACCTTGTCTATTTACTACAAAGTCTTGCCCTTCTACTGGATTTCCTCCACTAGTGAGTTATACATTATGTACTTTTTCTTATTATCTTTCAGTTTTACCATTTTTAAGAAATCCTGAAATTAGTTTCAATCCATTTTCTTTCCTACTGAGGTGACAAAGAACTAAAGTCTTTTCATTTGTTAGTATGTTGGTTCTTTGTTTCTAAAACACCTAAATTAATTACCATCATTTATTACTATCTTCTACAAGCAATACTTACTTAGGCTTACCAAGATGCTTACCATTTTTAAAATGTGTATTTATTTAGTTTTGTTCATCATTGCTTCCTACTTCTTGTTGCAGTTTCCTCTTACTAGTAAATATGATTTAGTAGTTGTTTCCTCAGTGGTATGACAGTACTAAACACTGTCTTTATCTCAATGGTATTATTTCTCTCTGATAACTAAATTTTCTGGATATAACAGTTCAGATTCAGAATTATTCTCCTCAGAATTCTACATACTCCTCTATTCTGATCTCTAACTTTATTGGAAAAAAAAACCGCACAAAAGTTCTGCTATCAATCTAATGTTCTTTTACAGGTGGATCAGTATTTTTTCTGATAGTTCAAAATATTTCTATCTTCATAATTTTGCAATTTCAATACACATATAGGGGTGTAAGTTTTTTTTTAATTCTCTCTGTAATCTTGTGCCTCCTTAACTCTAGAAAAGTCTCTGAACTATTCTTTGAATAGTATTCTTCCCGTCCCTCTTTCATCTTCTGTGTTCTTTCCTCAGGAGATATAGAGACATATGTTAGAGTAACAGAGCTTCTTATTTTACCTTCCCTAGAAGATATCTTCATGTTTTCCATTCCCAAATTTAGAGAATTTCTTCAGATCTCTATATGGACTCATTTATTCTACTCATCTTTAATCTGTTTAATCCATTCATTATGCTCCCAATCACTACTGCTTTCTGTAAATTCAATTTGGTTCCTTTTCAAAACTATCTTCTCTGCTGAGCCAACGATTATAAAATGACTCAGTACTTCCAGTACCAAAGCTTAATAATTCTGTACACAAGAGAAACACAAACATTTAAATGAAGATGCTTTCCTTTTCCTGTAACTAATGCCAATTTCCAGTTATGTAAGAAGTCTAATAACTTGAGGTAAAAATAGCATGGATGTTACATACAATTAAAAATCTGCATGACCTTCTTGTTTGAAGGTAGGGACACTATGTATCCCACATGGTCATAAAAATAATTTGTTTTTAAATAAAGAGGTTAAAAGGTAAGTAAAGCACTACAGAAGTTACAATGAATGAACTAGATCTACACTTTCAACATATAAATCTTTAAAAACAAGGAATAAAAAAAGTCACAAAAAGAGGGAGAGTGCTTGGCTAGCTCAGTCAGTAGAGCATGCAACTCTTGATCTCAGGGTTTTAAGTTCAATTCCCACGTTGGGTGTAGAGATTACCTAAAAATAAAATCTTAAAAATAAGTCACAAAAAGGTATAATAAATTTTTATCAAAGTATGAATAGAAATATATACACACACCAATGTTAAATTAACTCTGGGAAGAAGAAGATATAAAATATTAAGGGAAGATGAATCTTCCAACAATTATGTATCTTTTTATATACAAAATATACATGACAAAATGTTCCTGTTAAATCCAGGTAGTGGTATTCAAGTGTTTGTAACAGAATATTCTGTGCTTTTCTGAGTTATTGAAATATTTCAAAATTTACCACTTTAAAAGTCACTTTTCATAAATAACATTAATTTTTTTAATGTTTATTTTTGAGAGAGAGAGAGAGACAGAGAGCAAGTGGGGGAGGGGCAGAGAGCGAGAGACAAAGAATCCAAAGCAGGCTCCAAACTCTGAGCTGTCAGCACAGAGCCCAACGCAGGGCTTCAACTCACAAACCATGAGATCATGACCTGAGCCTGAAGCCGGACGCTTAACGAACTGAGCCACTCAGGCGCCCCAACATTAATGTATTTTTAAAGGTGACACATTAGTCCTTCCGTGAGGTGCGTTCTGCATTTCGTAAGGGACAGGTGACAAACTCTTACAGCTCTTAATGATGTCTGGTAACAATCCTCAAAAAGGCGTAACTTTATAAATCATTTAAACTTCGGGTAAAAGAAATATAAACATCTTTTCTTCATTTAAAAAAGTACTTACCATAAATTTAGTGAGGTCACTCAACCTTCAATATATAAAATTCAATTATATTTCTATATACCAGGAAACAAAATGAAAATTTTTAAATGATATTGATCAATGACATCAGCAAAAATGGCAAAGTAACAAACTCCATATTCTGCTACTCCAAAAAAAGAAAAAAAATGGACAAAAACTGTCAGAATAAAAATTTTCCAAAATGAAAGTTAATCAGACTTGCAGTAACCCAGAGAATATTTTAAGCTGATTCTCAGAACGGTGAACTCTGTGGCATATTTCAACTTACTTCAGTCCCATCTCCTGGCAATTCCACTTCTAGGCATATATTCCAAAGATGCAAAAACAACGACTCCAACAGATAAACATATATGAATGTTCATACGAGCTTAAGAGCATTTTATATATACAATGGATAATTATTCAACCATAAAAAGAAAAGTTCTTTGTTCTGATATATACTACAACATGAACATTGAAAACGTTATGCTAAGTGAATTAAGCCAGACAGAAAAGGGCAAATGTCTTATAACAGTTATCAGGACATGCCAATCAAAACCATAATGAGATACCATTTTACACCCACAAGGATCACTACTACTGAAATGACACACAATAACAAAGACTGGTGAGGATACAGAGAAGTTGGGACACTCCTACATTGTTGGAAGGAATGTAAATTGGTGCAGCTGCTGTAGGAAACAATTTTTCAGTTTCACTCCTAAGTATGTACACCATAAAAATGAAAACACATGTTCACATAAAACTTGTACGCAAATATTTATAGTAGCATTAGTCATAATAGCTCAAAAGTGGAAACAACCCAATAATCCATCAGGTGATGAACAAACAGAACATGGTACACTGTGAATTATTAATTAGCCATTAAAAGGAATTAAGTACCATCACATGCTACAACATGGACAAACCTTGAAAACATCATGGTAAGTAAAGAAGACACAAAAAAACCACATATTATATCATTTCATTTACATAAAGTCCAGAATTGGCAAATCCATAGCTACAGAAAGTCAGTTAGTGGTTGGGTTGCTGAAGGATGGAGATAAAAGGGAAATGGGATGAATTGCTAATAGGCACAAGGTATTTGGGGAGTGGGGAGAAGGAAATGTTCAGGAATTAAAGAGTGATGATTTGACATACAACACAGTGAATATACTTAAAACTACTGAATTATATACCTCAAAATGGTGAAGCTTATGTTATATGACAAATTAGATAAATAAACATAAGTATCACAAAATATCAAATACTAAAGTAAAGAAAGACGTATAGGAAAGACTGCAAAACATAGGAAAAACTCAAGATTTACGATGGGGATATTCAGGAATTGGAAGCACTAATATTTGCAAAGATGGCCATTCTCTTCAAACTAATCTACAGATTCAGTGCAATCCCCAAAATATCCCATTAAGTTTTTTCCTGGAAATTGATAAACTGAATCTGAAAGTCACATGGAAATGCAAAAGACTAACAATAACCCAAGTAATACTGAAGAACAATAAACTTGGAAGACTTACACTACCAGATATTAGGACATATTATGAAATTACACTAATTTAGGCTATATGGCAAAGGTGTGAAAATACAGAAACTGACCAATGGAAAGGAACCAAGTCCAGGAATAGTTCCACATAAATACTGGCACGTGATTTAGGACAAAGGCAGCCTAGCAGTGGAGAGTGGAAGGGAAAGTCTTTCAGAAAGTGATACCGGATCAACTGCACACCCTTATGGGGAATATAAATGGACCTTGATCCCTATCTTACACCATATAAAAAATGAAGTCCAGATGAATCACAATCTGAATGTGGAAGCTAAAAAAATAAAATTTAACAAGAAAAAGAGAAGACAGTATCTCCATTACTTTAAAGGGAGCAAAGAGTCTCCAAATATAAATGTTATCCAAGAGTTATTTTTATTGTTCTTGCAAATTTTCTGTGTTAATTTGCAAATAAAAAGGTAAAAATAGACACCCCAAAAGAAGGTGGCAAAAAACTTCAATCACCACTACACAAAAGATGATGTGCAAATCGCCAGTAAACATACGATGCATTGCACATTAGCCCATCAAGAAAAGGCAAGTTAAAACCACAATGAAATATATTACCACAGACTTAACAGAATGGTTAAAATTAAGACGAAAATACCAAGTGAGGTGAGGATGTGGGAGTGTACCTCAGTATATTTATCTTGAAAACATTTGACAGTAAAAAAAATATACAAAATCTATGAGCCAACAATTCTATTTCTGAATATATAACAGTATCACCAAAAGCAATGGACTGGAATATCCACAGCAGCAGTTTCAAAATAGTCCAAAATTGGAAGACATCCCAACAGCCATGTACTGTTCTGTACAGCACAACAGTAAAACAAAAGAATCTATATAGTAATGATAATGATTACAACTGCAACCAACACTATGATTGCATCTCACAAACACATTAAGCAGAAAGAAGCTGGAGACAAAACAGCATGTTGTATGATTCCATTTATATTAGGTACAAAAACAGAGAAAATTAATCTGTCCCGCCAAAAGTCAGAATACAAATTACCCCTGTGGGGGGCAACTTGCTACTGAGTGAATATGATCATAAAAGGCGCTCTTAAGGTGCTAGTAATTTCTACTTCTTGATCTGGATGCCTATGAACATGTATGATGCATGCACACGTCTGGTACTTTATGTCATATTTCAATATAAATTTAAATACACTTCTATTTATGCACACATACTTGTATTTACTCACCACCATGTGCACGCTTTCCCTACCTTCAAATGTATACAACTCCAAAGAACAGCGATCAGGAATACCCAAAAATGACTGTTTCCCTGTGAGTCACCCTGTATTAGTCAATAGGCCAGGATCAAGCACATAGAGCTTTTGGCTTCTGACTGCATCCCATAAGTATGAGTTAAGTAGATTTAAAGAGAATAGTGAGGAAGATACTCACTGTTCTGCAGAAAACAACCAAAAATTTAAAACTAAGAGCAATACTTTAGGAATATTAAGTGTTAAAATTGCTTGTTAAAGGAAAAGCAATTCTAAAAGGGGAGTCTGGCTTTTACTTAAATATCCTTGCCATTATTACATGTCCCCCTGCAATTATCATTAAAAAATTCAATTTATGAGATAAATAGCCATCCCTCATTCACCACCAAATTCCTCCCTACCTCACAGCCCTAAGAAGGTTATACTGAAGTCCACAAGTCCTAGCTTCACTAGGGAGCGTGGGCTAACTATTCAATAGGGAAGGAAAAAGCCGTTCCCAAGTTATGGTGAAAATACTAATGTATCTGATTATTATATAGTTCCTAAGGATAAACTCTTTTAATATAAGGAGATTTAATATCTTTTAATGTAAGGATTTTCAGTAATTTTTATCCATTTTATAAGTTCACTATGTGTTGTTGAAATATCAAAAATAAAACCCACATGTCTACCCATAAATGGATTATCAAGAATTAAGCATGGTAATGTTTATACCATCTCACCTCAACTTCATCAGAGGCAGGATTAGCAGAGTATGATAGAGCACCGCCAGACTTGAACAAAGAATAATCTACAATTTCTTCCCTTTCCCCCATCTCCAAATACTCTATTCAGAGACAATGACATCCCAGTTCATATATATTGTGAATGGCCAGAACTCATAGTCCCGATTCTGTACTTCATAGCACATTCTGGAGATCTTCAGGGAAAGAAACCCAATGACATTAGAAAGTATAAGTACAAACTGTTCCAAAATATGGTCCTTACCGCCTCTCTTGGAAAATCCTCTGTTCCGTGTTTGATTATCTTCACAGTCATTACTAGATTCTTGAATAAAAATTTAACATGTGAATAGTATCTAAATAATTAAGTTTAAAGGTGAAATATCTAAATAGCACTGTCACAGGACAAATTAGTGAAAAAATATTTTCTTAAAATAACATTTTAATTCTTGAAACAATTTTAGCAACAAATAAAAAGACATTATTCAGTTAACTCCCTATACAAATCATTTAATATATCTAAATGTTAAATGTTAAGCATACAATTGAGAACTCACTTTTTGTCAAGTGCCACACACAAGCCAAAAAATAGGAATTGCAAAATGTCAGTATGACTAAAAATGGTTTCAGAAACATCTAAACTATTAAGTAGTCAAGTGGTTCTGAAATGTAGGCCATAGGTCACTAGAAATACATGGCTATTTTTTTTATAATGCTATCAATATTTCTGTAATTTGCCTTTCTTAATAAACCTCAGACATTAGAGGCTTTTTTTAATGCTAACTTTTCCCTAATCATCCTAATGAAAGAATTTGCAGATATCCCATCTTTTCTGTTTTTAGTGACATTATCAAATAACACTACCACAGTTTTTAAATAGAGAATAACTACACTGAAGGCTAAGAATAAGCTAGAAAGTGGTTAAAAGGAAATTCCTAGAACCCACCCCCAGAGATGTTTATTTTGAAAGAATAGGTAAGAGCAACAAAAGATTAATTTTTCAAAATTTAAAAATGTTACTAATATGACCTTTAGTAATAACTTTACAAAACTCTTTCTAGAAAACTCCAACAAAGCCACATTTGGGAAATAAAGAAATGGCTTCAAGAGATCTTTATACATGTCATGAAATGTTTAAAATCTGAGAAGTTTAAGTCACAGTAATGTCATCAAGTGGCTAGACAGCTTAGAAGCTATCAGTTAAGTTCCTTGCAAAAATGCTAATTTAACAATTAATATTGTTCTATAATAAATAACCCAGAGCTCTTGCTGCAGGCTCCTACTTGAAATGAAGTCAACAACTACCAAACATTCCTTAAGAACAATCTAACTACCAGACAACTTTCTAGAAAGCAGGATTTAATACTACAAGGGAACTTAACAAGAAGGAAAAAATTGGGGAAAGGTTAGCACACCCTGGAATAATGATGACAGCTAACACTTATTGCCTTATATGAAAAAAAAAACAACCTATGAATTAATTTGAGAAGTGAGGAGAAAGAAGTCTCACATTATTTTTGTCCAATTATTTCCCTAAAATAAACCTATATTTTGACCACACTGGGAATTAAAATAGGCTAATGGCATTAGGAGAAGTTGGGTGAAGGGCACAATTATATTAGCAGAGGGGTGAAGGAAACACTCTAACTTGTTAACTCTAACTTTCTAACTTGTTGTAAGTCTTAGACTATTTCAAAATAACAACTTATTTTAAAAAATCACTGTATGGGAATGCAAGCTGGTACAGCCACTCTGGAAAACAGTATGGAGGTTCCTCAAAAAACTAAAAATAGAACTACCCTAGCCAAAATTGTACATACTGGGGATATTTATCCAAGGGAAAGGTGTGTCTGTTTTTTAGGGACACTTATACCAGGGTATAGCACACCACCAAATAATAGAAGTATGGAAAGATTAAACGTCCGACTGGATGAATGGATAAAGAAGATGTGGTATGTATGGTATGTATGTGTGTGTGTGTGTGTATATATATATATATGCTGTGTATGGTATGTATGAGAGTATGTGGATGTAGCTTGTATGTATACTATGATACATATGGTCATATATAATGCCATCTCTGCTTATTATGAGTATATTTGAGCACAGTAATAAATTTATCATACCATCACACACACATCATACCACTACTTACCACAACCCATAAGGAGAGGTACACTTCGGAGCTAACTCAAAAAAAGAATTGAATATCTAGCCTTTGGCACTTGATGGTCTTAACTGGAGAGATGACCATGCCAGTGAAATCAGTCAGAGAAAGATATAATATGTACCTTACTCATAATGAGGACCTAATAAGAAACAAGAAATAACAAACAGTCAAAAGGGAGGGAAACAAAAATAATATAAAAAAAGCAGGAGGACAAACATAAGAGACTCATAAATATGGAGAACAGAGGTTTATCGAGGGTGGGGGGGGGATGGGCTAAATGGGTAAGAAGGATGGAATCTATCTGAAATCACTGCTGCAGTAGTACTCTTGCTTAAATTTGAGAATTTAAAAAGTTAAAAAATAGAAATCCTGAGAGTTAGAAGATAAAGGCCAAGGATAAAAAGAGAGATTAATCCGCAAGCATCAGCTACCACAAGTACTATTAATGTTATATTACATAAAATCACTAAAACTCTGTATAAAATATAATTGGAAATAAAATAATAAGAACTTTAAACATATAAACATAATAACAATAATACATTGATTATATAAAACATATATATATATTATGTAGCAAAAATGTCACATATAGCATTTATATAAATATCACATAAAATTATTAAAAATTACTAGTAATAACAAATTCAGCATTATAGTTTAGCATGTTCTAAATGTAATAATATGTAATTAACTTAGTCTTCACAAAAAACCTATGAATGGTATTATCATCTTTACAATAGATAAAAGCTATACCAGCTAGAGGAAACAAGACTGGGCAAATAATAATCCACAAAGATGCTATTCATTTTGATAGCAGAGTAATATGCTTCAGATCAGTAAAGTCAGTTTCCTGGGCTTGCCAACAATACACACAAGAAGAACAAAAGTCAATCCATATATATGGGGTTTTTTGGTTTTCTTTTTTTTGTTTTTTTTAAGGGACTAAACTTGAGAACAGAAGAGAAGACCATATTTTAGAGAACAAGTTCTCCAGTCCGACGGAGAAACTGGACTTTGTGCTCAAAAAGCACTAAAATTGAGGTGAACATGATTGAAATAGTAACTGATTTAAAATGGAATTAGAACAAAAATGGAAAAGAATAAAAATTGGTTTTTTTTCTTCTGTCAAAATATTATCTATGTTATGTGATATTTCATCTGAATAAAGATATGTAAAAAAAAATGCAGAGACAATTAGGCAGGGATGAGACTGACGACGTTTAGGAACAGTCTTATTAGAGATATTAAACCCCGATCTAACCTTTTCAAACAGGTTTTCAAGGTGATGCCATCTAGCTTGAGTATTGATTTTGAGAATCACTGTTAAAGAGTACTATAAAAGATTACGTCTCAAATAAATCAGCAAGATGGATGGCATTTAGTTTACATGAGATTGATGAGTATTAAACTTCATATTTTCCACACATTTTCATTAAGTTTGCCTAATGCAATCCTTTTTTAATATGATGGCCTCCACTCTGCAGAATAGCAAATTGTGGGTTCTGCACAAATTAAGCAACTTGCTCATGTCTTTAACTAGGTCTAAAACAGGCCGGGAAACAGATTTGCAAACTCAAAGTAATGTATTATGTCAGTTGTGTTTCCATGATGAAGTTTCTCAAACAAAATGACATCGGATCACTTTTCAGGCAGAGCTTTTTATAAATACAGGTTCCAACAGGCCTCATCCAAATCTAAGTAATCAGGAGAAAGACTATTAACTTTATAATCTATACTTCTTGATAACACTACTCTACTCCATCATCTTTTACCCTCCACAAGCCAGTGTGTAGGTACTTTTGAGAAATGCCTTTGATAGCAGCAGTCATCACATACCTATGAATCTTTTTCCACTGCATAAAGTATATGCAGTTCTAATCAGGCTGATGTCCCAAACTCTATGATATATGGGACATGGAGTTTTGATTCTTACTAGTTCTTTCATATCTCCCTTTTGGGTAGTAAGCCATTCAAGTTGGACTCATGACTAAGTCAAATGGCAATAGGCAAATAGGATGCTCTACAGATTCTTGGAATCAGACTCTAGTTATAATTTGCTGAGAAAGTGGGTTGAATAAAATTAGACGGAACACACGGCACTAATCCTCTAGCCTTTCCGCTTTAGAATGTACTCTGAGCATTCAATTTTAAAAGCCACTACAAAAAGAACATTAAACTTTACGCTCCAGAAGCCGAGCTATCACCTTGCTTCAAACTTTGCATTTTTTGAAAACCTATACAAAATAGAAAATTAAACACCATGTGACAGAAGGCAATTTACCTGTACGGTAAACAAACCAAAAGACAAAGAAAGGCAACAGCAAGAAAGAGTGCTACTTGTTATGATTGCCTTTAATACAGGATAAACACACAGAACTATAAAATATAAATACTGAATAAAAACTCACACGGTTGGGGGAATCCTGGATGGCTCAGTTGAAGTATAACGCAGATTTTGCTCAGATCAGTATCTCCAGATTTGTGAGTTTAGCCCCTACATCAGATCTCTGTGTGCTGACAGCCCAGCCTGGAGCCCTACTCAGATTCTGTTCCCTCCTCTCTACACCCTCCCCTGCTCATGCTCTGTGTCCTCTGCACTCATACAATAATGTAAACAAAAAAAAAAATTTTTTTTAAACTCACATAGGTTGGGTTAACAATTTCTGACTGTGTCAATTAACTAGGTAAATGTCAGCCAATTTCAACATCTCATGTCATATTCTTCTCTATATATATGGTCAACAGATTATATATCAAACCTTACTACATACTTTATTCAAAAATAGTCAAATGTTTTAAAACCTTCAATCTCTTCATTTGCTCTAGATAACATTATTCACATATTATAATCCAATAATCATTAATTTTCCCATCTCCAGTAATAAGGAAATTTTTCTAACATTTTTTATTTTCAGCTAAAAGTTTTTTTGCATTCTTTCAGGTTTTAACTTATCAGATTTCCATATAATAACCGTAAGAACCTTTAGGATTTACATGTTCTGGAACATACAGATATGCTCTCTAAAATTAATTTAAATAAAGGACTATCAGTAATATTTCATAAAAATTTTAAATGTTTGATCTACTAATTTCTAGTGCAAAGATATTCATGGAATAATATCCTTTAAAATGTAACAATAGAGATGCCTGTC